AAATGCTTCTGCGGGTGCGTTTGCGCGCGGACGTGCGAGGGGGATTGAGGGCGGTGGAAAGCGGCAACAGTATGAGGTGGAGTTGAATCTGGGAAGATACTGATGCCCGATGCGGTGCCTGTGCCAGTGAAGAAGCAAAATCTGAAGGTGGCGACAGCTGATGAGTGGACAATAAACAGAGATGTTAGAGAACGCACTTGTTTAAAAATTCCTTATAATTCCCATTTGCATGTTCCTCATCTTCGCCCTCCGTCTCCGTGTCGTCCGTGTCAGTGAGGACTGCGCTCTCCGTCGGGCTTGGACTAGGGCTCGGGCTTGTTTCCCTCGAACTTCCCAAACTCGGCGTCGAGAGCTCGCTGTCCTCCCCTAGAGCATCCCCAACTCTCACTCCCATTCCTGGAGCGGTATTACTAGCACCACCAAATAGCCCGAGCCCCTCTGTCCTTGTGGGGGGGAACGAGTAGAAGCGTCCCGGTATCGGAGTCTCCTCTCCATCTGCTTCAGACACGTCTTCATCTGACACTGCAGGCGGCGTCCCAGGAGGCGTTATCCTCACCCCACTCCCACTTGGAGCCTCCGCAAATAACCCCCTCCTATGATGCCGTGTCCTCGTCGCATTGACAGGGTACAGCAGTTCATCCGTATTCCTCGTAAAGTTTGGCACAGAAGCGAAGAGAGGGCGGTCTTCATCTGTCACATCGCGCGGGCTAGCGAGTGGGGGAGTCCATTGCGCACGCTCCTTGATTCTTTGTGGTACAGGCCATTGTATCGAATTCGTGGAATCGGGTAGCACGGTAGGGGGAAAGGACTTCGGACGGCCAGGACTTGGGTAGGACTGGGCTCGCGTGTGGGTGTTGGTGGATGGGCGCGGTAGTGGTTTGTGTGGGAGCGGAGGCGGAACCCAACGGCTTGCGAGGGAATCGGAAAAGTCGTATCTTGGGGCAGGCCGCGCGGGCGAAGGAGGGACGACCTTTTCAAGGGTGGATCGAAGAGATGCGATGGTGTTGGGGTCAGGAGTGGGTCGCCGGCCGCGCTCATTCTCGGAGGAGCTGCTGGAGTTAGTGGTGGTGTACAACTCGGACCTGGTCATGTGCTTGGCTTCGAGACCGAACTCGACGAGGTAGTCACGCCCACAGTTATTGTCCCACACCTCACGCCCACCGACATTGTATCGTACGGCAAGGAGCATACGCTTTCCGTCAATACGGGCCATGAGGTCATTTAGACGCACGGTGAAGACGAAAATGTCTGTCTGTGACGAAGGCGAGGAAATGTATCGCGCCGAAACCTCTGAGGTTGTTTGCCATGCATCGAATGTGAAGCGGGCGACAACGGATTTGGCGTATGCTACGTTCGCCACTCGAACACAGCCAACGATAGAGGGCGAATCTTCGCTAAGAGTAAGGCTCTCGAGGAGGACGTCGTTGTCAGCGGACAGGCGCGGAGGCATGTTAAGAGTGTGCATGATGAGCTTCCTCGACGATGGGCGGTCACTTGAGCCAAAGATCCAGTCGGGGAAGTCGGAGTCGGTGCCCGAAGCAGTGTCTTCAGTTGGGCTACCATCGCGGGAGACGGCGAGAGGCTTCTGCTCGGCGAGGAAGAGCTTGACATGCTCAAGCTGGGCATCGAAGTGAACGGCCTTGGGTGCGTGGGTAGGTGTTGCTGGTGCGCTCTTGGAGTTGGAATAGGGTGAACGAGGGGTAAGAAGAGATAGGGACTTGGATGTTTTGAGGGAGGACTTGACGAGCTGGCCAGACTTTTTGCGAATGAGACGGGGTTGCGATTGGGAGCCTGGGAGAAACGAGGATGAGGCCTGGGGCGAGCGATCTGCAAAGAAGCTCGAGGATGATTGGTGGGCACGAGACTCGGAAAAGTTAGGGGAGGTGGTGAGGCGCAGTGAAACACCAGGCGAGTAGAGGAGCGGCGGTCGGCGAAGAGTTGTTTCGGGCTGCTCTGACCGGATCCTTTTGGCTCTCAAGGCAATTGTGGGTCGACTACTGTCGCTAGACGAGGACGATTCCGAGTCGTCCAAGGGCAGTGGTGGCGAGGATTGTTGTATGACCACCTTAATAGGCACTGAAGAGGAGGACTCGCGAGAATGACGCCTTGGGATGAGAGGAAGAGGGGCGCCAGCCTGGTTGCCTGCAAATAGGGGATTAGCAGGGGGCGACATGCGCTGAGTGGCGAGCATCTTCTGGGGCGTAGGATGAGTTTGGAAAGTATATTAGCGCACAATATAAAACTCGCCTTGGGGGTCGCCAGGACTGGTCACGGGAAAAGCGTCCGCGGAGGGAGGTGCGGACTTTGCAAGGAGCGCCAGCTAAAAGTACAGGTTTAGGCGATGGTAGCGTGGATACAGTCGGCTTTAATCCTCAAGCCAGATCTCCGGCCAAAGTGGGTGGTCCAGATATGTCGATAAACCATCCATCTCCATTTTATCACAATATTTTAGAGTTGCGACGGCAATCATTTCCTTGTCTCAGATATGACCATTTGCATGATCATTTCAACATTAATGGGCGCATCCATTCCAACATAAGCAAGCCGCCATCCGCTATTCAATCGCGCTGCTAGAAACCCCAGTTTTTTTTATATATCAACAAGGCAGCTGCACGATTTGAAGTCAAGCCAAGTATTTCGCATCCTCCTTTCTGTTTCAAATCGAGTGATTTACGATCGTGATCAGGGTTAGGAGTCCTGTTGCAGCCGTAGTTCTTCTCGACGAAGTGAAGGGTCGCAAATCAACAACAAATTATCCAACACCATCTCGCCCAGCTTCTTGCCTGGTCAATGCCTGCTTCTCTGCTTCTTTCTTTTAAAACATGGCTGGCTAAACGTTAACAGTCTAGCTTATGCTCACAACTTCCAACTTCTATCTCTTTTCCTCGTCCCATTCCATTCTCCAGCCTTCCCTTTACTATACGGCCCTAGCGCTCGCTCCTCACTTCGATTCGTACATTCCTACCATGCGAACCTTCGAGCCCGCGGGTGAACGTGTATGTGCCTGAAATGGTGATGATATGGCGTCACATGTTCTTTCTTGTCAAATGACAGGACGATATGTGTAGAAACTCGGCCACTCGGACCTCGACCTATTCACAAATGATCTGTCTCCGTTCGTACATGTCCGAACATTGACAGAATGGGCTTCGTATCGTTATCGATATCAGTGACTATACTGTATATACTGTTATTCCTTGCATGCTTCGAGAGTGCTTATCGGATACACATCAGCAAAATTTAGATAACGATACCTCTCTATGCCTACCAAGTCAACCACTTCACGACCACGATGGTCTGGGCACTGTTCCAATCCCTGGGCGTATCTACCGCGCACCCCAACCTTACCATCACATTCCAATCACGGCACGAAAGTGATAGCGGTCCAATAACAATCGCCCATCCAAGCGCCCTTACACACCAATGTACGTACGTACGGCTCCGAAGTGGTGCTACGCGCCATATACAGGCTGCAAGCTTAGTCTCCACTTGTGCGCCTGTTCTTTACGGAAATGGTAGGTATGTCTTCGAGATTGTAGAGAACCTCAATCTTGGAGCAGACGGGGATACTTAAGGCGATCACGCTTGGACAAAACATCTTCTTTCTGGTCGGGTAGCAACGTGCGCGAAGATATCCTTCCATTGAATAAGACAGCTGTCTGCTTGAGGCCATAACTTCACCTTCGACACTACCCACTTCTTGTTTACATGTCTTGGTCAACCCGATGCCGTATATACATGCAAAATGTACAATGGTATGCATCTGGCATTAACCCCGCTCCGATCATATGCTTGTACATACACTCGGTCATAGCTGGTTTGAAGGCCAGGTCCCACCCACCTTCCCATGCTTAAGCTCACGTCTTTCGAATTTCTTCTCCCCGACTCGACGTCTTATTATCACCACCTATATGCCTTTTACGACAAACCTGAACGTTATTATCCACTCTCTACAGTGTCCGACACAGCAAGATGTCGTACCTCATCAGTCGGCTGTCCCGCGGTAAAGACAACTTCCTCGTATCAAGCGCTATTCCCTCCCTACATCCTGCCCTGATTTGACCAATAATCAGGATCAGAAATCAGGTTTACTCGTCTGCCCTGGATCCAAGCACTCAAGGGTCACTGGTCATTGGCATTCCCAAGTCAGTTACACTTTTAGACTCTCCGGCTGGTAAGTAGGTTTAGCATGCATATGTGTGTGTGTCCAATTGCATTGATCAGCCCTTTGTGATTTGTTCCAGCGTTGGCATCGACCACGGATACGTCGAGATTTCCCTGCATCGCGCAATGTGGTTTCCCAGCTCGTATTTCCAATCAAACTCCACGATCGTTGCTTCCTTTGTCTTTGGACTTTTCTCCTGGATCTTTGCCGCACGGTTACATATGTAGGCCCTCCTCAAATCCTTTAATCTTCAACAAGTTCTTTTACACGTGTGTCATGCGATTCGATGAATCCTTTAGTGCTGTTCTATCCTCAGCTGTCTAATATCTGTGTTGGCACGCATGCGCGTACACATGATGCAAAGTGTGATACCGATAGATGCCGCATCCAACTGTGAACCACTTGATTTACGAGAGGTGCCAAGTCCGCATATGTCGTGTATAATATGAATCCTCGGATTTTGGCTTGTTTAGTTGCTTATTTTTTGGTTCGTCGCTCATCCTTGTCTTTGGGCGTTTAGTGTGCGATACGGGGCTGTTGTAAAGTGCATGTCGTGGGAAGGATACTTGTGGTCTATGATCATAAGCTGCGGGTTGATCGTACTATGTCCATTCATATTGCCAGATGGATACGTGGTCGGCCTCCTTTTCGTGACCGTAGCATGTCATTGAAACAAAGAATATTGAAACATTACAGTTGAATATCTGTAAAGATGAACTATAGGTCACCTACAAACGAATGCCTTGCATGCTATTTAGGGTCACTGGCAACTTTGAGGAATTTTTTGCGGCCTTCCTCAAGGGATATTAGACGTTATTAAAAAACAGTACATATATCCCCCTTAGCTCAGTGGTAGAGCGCGTCACTAGTAATCAAAATACGAAATGACGAGGTCAGTCGTTCAAGTCGGCTAGGGGGAAACATGGTATAAGATCCAACATTTTAAATTCCTTGCCTCTCGTCCCTTTCTTATAACAAATTTTTGTGTACGTTCCACGCGCATTGAGTGCTGCTATCAGAAGCCAGATCGGTTGTAATCAAATTTCGAGAAGAGCACCACGTGCGACTCGTATGAAAAATGCCTCCATTTTTCACAGTATTAATACTGCATGTATTATCTGTATGTAGATGTCATCTGTTATCCTACGGACTCAGAAAGAAAAATATTAGAATGCTGGGATCATTGACCTGATTAACGGGCGGCTATGATCGAGCTCAAGATGCTTGAAGCTTGCTTGGACTTTAAGCTCATCTATATGTATTCGGGCTCACAGGGTTAACAAGCCTTGAGTGAGCCTTTCTCAGTGAGAGAACTTCCAGATAACCACGCCTCCCAATGGCTCAAAGAGAGGGTTGACACGATAGCCATTTTCACCAAATATGCACTGTGCTACTGGTTATAAGTATTCTTTGCAGCAGATAGCACGTGATCATGGCCTTCATTACGCTCTGACAATGTGCTTAGAAAAATTTCATCCAGCTCCACAAGGTCGGCCATGATGACATGGTTGATGGAAGGAGGGTGTGCTTCACTATTAGTCGCAATCGCGACATCGACGCGTCGCTTTCAATTCTGCTTGTTTTTGCGAGCTGTGCATTCATGATCAATTAGTCAAGTATCTAAAGAAAAAGAGAGGTAGGAAGTAAGGGCTTCTATTACCTGGCTAAAACTCGCCTGGTCAGAGCCTGAATTGGTACTAGGTACAAGTCCTTAGGCCTTAGTCGTAGAACACCAAAGCTCTAATCTCGATAGACTCTCTGCAAGGTGTACCTGCCGGAGTGGTCGGGTCCTCAAACGCAGTATGAGGAGTGAAGACAGCGACACTGCCGTCCTGAATAGTCAACGCTAGCCAGCAAGTCATTTGTGCTATTCCAGCCAACCCATTCAATGCAAGAACCGTACCATTTGATCAAGACAGCCTCCTCAGTAGTTACTCCGCGGAAATACTTCCACTGCTGATTAGGATTGTACTTGACTCCAAGCGTCTCCCCTTCGCGATCGGGGTATATAATGGAGATAGGGAATATATCATTCACGGGATCAATGCTCCTATAGTCGCACAGACCTAGAGGCCAATCTAGTGCAGGGTGCGAGATGGGACGCCAGAGGTTCACAATTTGGAAGCGGCGCTTGAGAAGCTCAGGCGCCTCGTCAGGAAGGTGGCGATGAACTCGGGCGATGAAGCCGCAGTTGACTGGTCGACGTGCGCTTGATGAGCAGGTTGGCGAGAGTTGGGGCCGTCGAGGGCTCCAGGTACTCGACGCCGAATAGCTAAGTTCCAGGTTAGCACCATGTCTTTGAAATTGATGCAATGGGATAATGCTTACTGTGGTCAAAGATGAATGCTCTGCTTGCTCCAGTTACAGATTTGAGAAGCTAGACACTCTCAGAATAATATTCTTTCTGAATCTCGGCATCGTCACGGAAGGCGGTATGCTTTTTGGACTGGCGGACGAGTTGGAAGCCAGCCGAGTCGAGTGTCAAGTCGCTCTCCTTCGAGGTTCCGCGGAGGTTTTCAAAGATGACCTCCTTGTCCTCTTCAGTATAATGCCTCTCGCGCACACCGGCCTTCGGGTCGGTATAAGTTTGGATATAGGCGCGTTCACCGTGAGCGGGAGGTACGACGAAGAAATCAACTCGACCAGTGGTAGTGGTAGTGGTTGCAGTAGGCACGCCTGATGAAACTGAAACTAGGGTGAACTGCTGAAAGTGCACCTGCTGTACCCATCTCTATAGACCTGTTCTTTGTCGGCTTATAACAATGCATATGTTGTTCATCCAGCTGCCCTACCAGTGGCCGTGCTTAGGTGACAATCCAAAATCTATTGCGGACATACCTCAATTGAGGATGAGCGAAGCCCATTATTAGTGAGTCGCTGCTTACAACACATTTCTGCACCCGGTGTTAGAGTAGGGAATTGATGTCGGTTAGAGAAATGAGGTGAACCATGGCCCGTCCCTGCTTAGGGAAGGACAAGTCCCGAACAAAACGGGGAAGAGAACAACGACCAGCTGACCTCGGACAAGTTATTTACAACATGATGTATTTAGTGCAGAATGCTCTCAATTTTCAGGAAAAATAGGAGCTAAGGTTGAGACTTGCGACATCGTTGCCGACGGAGACCATTCAAACTATTGGAGGACTCGTTTTTAATACTGTTGCCGACGCCTCAATGGTCAACTTTGAGAGAAGCAGATATCAACCATCAAAGTTGAGACGAAGATCATGAAGACTGCCACACTTTTTTTTAACTTGAAGTAATCGCTGATCTAACATGGGCTGGGCTTAGAGATAGAAAAGGACGGTAACAGAGAATGCAATATTAAGGGCATTTCTTCCACGAGATTTTCAAGGCTGGTCAGTGGGGAACACAAAACTTGTCGATCTTTGTCGACGATGCTGAGTTGCTACTTGATGAGAAAATTGGTTGGACCGACGAGAATGTCGCGACATGGTGGAAGAAGGGAAGGAATTGAATATTCTCACGAATTTAAGTTGGCCACCATGAGTCCATGACACAGGTACCCAAATTGCGGTGTATGTAGACACATAGAAACGACGATGACCTGAATTTCCGTCGCTTGTGCTGGCCGGGTCGTCAGCGCGTCCACAACTGCCTAGATCCAGCTTATGATAGGAGTCTGCCAGGCGTGCACTCGTCAGAGAAAAATAAAGTGGTTGTATTATTCAGGAGAGGATATAATTGTATGGGTTGCATCACAGTATTGAAAGCAATCTCAGACTTGTTCATAAGCAGAGCACAGTCCTCAGTCGTAGAACACCAACGCTCTGAGCTCGATAGACTCTCTGGGTGGTGTACCTGCTGGAGTGCTCGGATCCTCGAACCCAGTATGAGGAGTGAATACCGCAACACTGCCGTCCTGAACGGAATCAAAGCTACAAGCGAAAGGAATATCAATGGTGGCCTACTACGACTGGTTACTATAACACACCATTTAATCAATATGGCTTCCTCAGGCGTCACGGCGCGGAAATACATCCATTTCTGATTTGGGTTATACTTGACTCCTAGTGTCTCTCCTTCGCGATCGGGGTAGACAAGGGTGATGGGGGCCGTATCTTCCGTGGGATCGATGCTCCTATAGTCGCATAGACCAAGCGGCCAGTCAAGGGCTGGCTGCGAAATGGGACGCCAGAGGTTTATTATTTGGAAGCGGCGTTTGAGGAGTTCGGGTGCCTCGTCAGCGGGGAGGTGGTGGTGAACTCGGGCGATGGAAGCCTTGGTCGTCTGATCGACGTGTGCTTGAGCCACGGGCTGGCGCGTGGTGGGTGTGTCAATGAGCGACCCTGGTACCCGACGCCGAATGGCTATGAAATCATAGTTATTATTAGTGGATGTGAGAAGTTAAGGAGACGCTGTGAAAATGCTTACTGTGGTCAAATATCACAACTTTTCTTGCTCCAGTCACAGATTTAAGGAGATCGATGCTCTCGGCATAATAATCCCTCTGAATCTCCTCATCGTCTACGAAAGTCGTATGTTTCGCGGGTTGCCGAACGAGCTGGAATCCAGCTGAGTCGAGGGTGAATTCACTCTCCTTTCCACGAAGGTTCTCGAAGACGACCTCCTTCAACTCCTCAGCGTAATTCTTCTCCCGCTCGCCGGTCTTTGGGTTGGTATTGATGTAGGTATAAGCAGGTTCATCGTGTGCCAGAGGGGCGACGAAAAAATTGACTTTGGAGGTGGTTGTGGTAGATGTCGCAGTAGGCATGGCTGTCGAATTCGACGTTGTAGTGTTGCAGGATGTATGTTTCGGTTGTCCGCCTTTATAAAACGCGTGGTAATCGAATGTGCTTATCAAATGATTAAGCTTCGACGACAATTTTCCCCATTGTGGCGTGCTCGAATGACC